TAGAAAATAGATGATGGGCGCCTGGGTGGCTCAGTCGTTAAGCGTCTGCCTTCGGCTCAGGTCATGATCCCAGGGTCCTGGGATCGAGTCCCACATCAGGGGTCCCTGCTCTGCAGGGAGCCTGCTTCTCTTCTGCCTCTGCTTCCCTCCCTCTCTCTCTGTCTCTCATGAATAAATGAATAAAATCTTTAAAAAAAAAAAATAGATGATGAAGGGTTCCTGGCTGGCTCAGTCAGTAGAGCATGTGACTCTTGGTCTCAGGGTTATGAGTTCGAGCCCCACATTAGGGGTAGAGTTTACTTAAAAAAAGAAAGAAAGAAAATAGATGATGAATATTCTAGCAAGTGTATGGGAAGAATATGTTGTAATATGTGACTATAGACTGAAAGCCAACTTTCTGGGAAAGACACCATTTGTGCCAGAAATTTCTAACCCTAACTATAAACTGTTATTTTTAGTTTTCTTTATGGTACTTAAGAAGCTTATTTTTTTCCATGTGCCTATGCATGCATGTGTGCACAACTGTGTCTGTGTGTGTGTCTGTGTGTGTGTGTGTGTGTGTATTTTCAGGAATAGTCTAAAGTTGCAAAGCCTTCTAAAGTGTGATAGTTACTGGGGTGCCAGGCTGGCTCAGTTGGTGGAGCATGTAACTCTTGATCTTGGGATCATGAGTTCGAGCCCCATGTTGGGTGTAGAGTTTACATTAAAAAAAATAATGTGTGATAGTATTTTACAATCTATAATTTGTGTTTCCTTTTAATTTTCAGTGCTACGCTAAATCAAGTACTTTTTGTCTTTTTAGATATTTAGCTTCCTGTGGTATACTGATGAGCAGAACTCTTCCACTACATACCTCAGTTTTGCCTAAGGAGATATATGCAAGAACCTTCTTCAGAATTGCTGCACCATTAATAAACAAAAGAAAAGAATATTCAGAGAGGAGAATTATAGGGTTTGTATATAATAATAGTTCTGCTAAAAGAGAATGTTCACAATTTTCTGTATTCATGACTTTTTTTCTGGATTTTTCTTCTTACAGAATATGCTTTGGTTTTTCTAGATTGGCCTTTCCACAGCTTTTGCTGTTTTATAAATATTTGTTGAATGAAAATAATTATATGATAACTTTATAGGATAGATTTAAACCTTGATGTGTAAAGGAAATAATTGAACTGTTTAGACCTACATTTTTGTACACTGTTTGTTTCTATAGTGGCAACATTAGTGATATGTTGGGCCCAATATGTTTATTTATTTATTTATTTTTAAAGATTTTATTTATTTATTTGACAGAGATACAGCGAGAGAGGGAACACAAGCAGGGGGAGCGGGAGAGGGAGAAGCAGGCTTCCCGCTGAGCAGGGAGACCGATGTGGGGCTCAATCCCAGGACCCTGGGATCACGACCTGAGCCAAAGGCAAACGCTTAATGACTGAGCCACCCAGGTGCCCCCACACCAATATGTTTAAATAGCTCCCTCACATATAAACATACATAGATAAGTAACATACAGATGTGCTAAGAGGCTCCTACCACCTGGAGTGTAGGTTGGCAAACTTTTTCTGTAAAGGACCAGATAGTATATATGTTAGGTTTTGTGGACCATACTGTCTCTGTAGCAGCTACTCAACTCTGTCATTGTAATTGTAGCCCAAACAACATATTGCTGTGGACAGTATGTAATAAATGGGTGTGACTGCGTGCTAATAAAACTTTATTTACAGAACCAGACTTTGGGCCAGGTTTGGCCCCTGATCTAGGAGTATATATAGAAGAGAATAGAGAGACTGCAGTTCTGCTAAACCAGAAATACAGCATCTGTTCATATGGGAATTTCTACAAGGGGATCTTAATTCTCAACAGGCCATTAAGTATTACATGAATTCTTGTAAAAGTGCATTTCAATAATTTTTTCAGTTGCTTTTTCCATTCTGATTTTTCTGTAGTAAAGGACTTTCAGCAGACTCAGCTTTTGTCACTAAAATTACCTTTATTACTGGCTAAATCACTGTATTGGTTAAGGTAATGCTAGCAGCTATACAGGTAAAACCCCAAAGTTTATTTCTTTCTTATGTAAAGTTCAAGTGGGTATTCCCCATCCACGGGCAGCAGTTTAGGAACCTAAGCTCCATCTAAACTTGTGCCTTTTGTAATTCCTTAGTCTTTTAAGAAGATATACTTGATTCTCAACCATATTGGTCTGGAAGGGATTATTGGCAAAAACTAGTCATGTAATCCCATCTAAATGCAAGAGGGGAATTGGGAATAGTAGCCTCCGGGTGGGCAGCTTCTTCCCAGCAATAGCACCATGTAAAGAGAGCCTAAATAATTGGACAGGTAGA